TTAGACCGCTTTGTCAAATCGCCTACTGGTCTCATCATCGTCCAGTGACAATCGACATTCTTTGTTCCGTTGAGACTGTAGCTTGTGCTCGTTTTCGTTGCGCTTGCCTTCCCCTCTTTGGTCTTTCCATAACCTTGAACCTTCCAAGTTGGAAGGCTGTCGGTTAGCGCTACGGAGATGTGTTGAAGCTAGGTGTCAGGACGTCGAATGTCTCAGTACTCCGTCAGTTTTGTGCCTAGTTGTTGTACTTTCTGACTGTATATAGTATCTAGTTACAGTGGTGGAGAGTTACTCTTAACTCGTTTCCATAATTATGTCCTTTTCCTTTCTAATAATAATAATAATAGCATATTTCGCGTAGTAGAGCACCAAATAAAGAAATTCAGTTTTTTCCGCTTCTGTCTTGTGAGCATCATCAGCAAGGGGTAGTAGCTGCTGATACTGATTTCTCCTCGGGTGTCGAGCTGTACAGTTTCTTCCAGTCTGTCTTGTCTGCTGCTTGTTGTCGGCACCTGGAAAGGTCTTCCATGGTCTTCATTGGCACACCCAGCTTATTCAGCTGAGCGACCAGACACTTGTGGCCAGTGTCAACCTTGGCCGTCTACATTGATATCCTTTAATAATAATAATAATAACAGCTCGCATGTACCCCATGGGTGAGATCTCCCATGGGGCTAACGCATCTGTCGGCAAAAAGAGCTAGAGAAAACGAGAAATACATGACATACTCATGTTACTGAATCTCAGCCGTTCCGTTCCCCGGGACGCAGGACACAAAGGACAAGACTTGTTTGTTACATTATTTATATTTACAAGACCGAAAGCAAACTGCTCCGACAGAGACGAACAAGAGACTGACAAAAGGACTCACGACTACAAAATCGCGCATGCTCATATCACACATACACGCGACTAGACAAGGACAGTTTGGGGAATGCAATCACACAGGAAAACAACACATCATTTTTCAACACACACCTTCTCCATTCTGTTATTAGAGAGGTTAAGTTTCACGTAAAAGTCTTACGTCCGTGAACTTTTACGTCAAAAAGTGAAAAAACTCATGTAAAATTTGACGTGTTTTACGTGAGTTGACTGTCCCGCACGTAAGTTCATGATGTGAGTTTTTGAAAGTTTCGCTTGGTTATCCCGACCGAATTTGTGTGAGTTTCCGGAATTTTATCGAGATTTATCGAGTTTGTTTGAAGATTTGATATTCGTGCAAACTAAACCCGAATCCTGCCAGGCAAAATTTCACGTCACGTCGCACGTGTAACTTAACCTCTAAAAATTACACGAAACGTGAGATTTGCACCGCGTTTTGAAAAAGGGCAAAAAACGTGTAACTTAACCTCTCTATTGCAGAGAAAACTACCTCGATTCCACCTTTGGTATCTGTTGCGAACCCTCTGGTTCTCTAAAATGTCAGGAACGAACGACCCCACATGGCATGAGGACAACTATTTATTCTCAACAGTATATTTCACTTCCATCGACTAACAATAATGAACAATGAATGAATAACTAACACTAAAACCACCAGGTAGTTATAGCGTGAAAATGACAGCGTATATGAGAAAAGCATACACATACCACATACAACAACAGCGCACACAGCAAAACCGCACATAGCGCATGTAGCGTATACTACGTCGAAAACATCAGTGGTACGGCGGAGTCGGGATACAGCTGCATTGGAACGAACACAATGTCACAAGCGAGAAGGCCTTTCACTCTCGAGAACTTGTGGTTTCACAACATTCTCCCCACCAAAGGGCTTCTCACCGCCGTACAACAACTCACAAGTCAAACGATTTGGGGCTTACTACGCGTTATCTGCTGCTGCGGTGGTGGCCATGGTAGAATATCACTAATGCCCACCACTTCGGCCAACTCAATTTCGCGAAGCTTGCCGCCCGTGGGCTGTCACACACGACATGGCTACCGGTCCACTTCGACGTGGGGCGGATGCTGCACCAGACAACACACAACCGATAATTTGACCAACCTTGCAGATCTGGGCTGTCACACACGACTCGGTCACTGGGCCACTGCCTCGTTGGGCGGAAGCTGGACCAGATAACATATATCTGATCTCTGTGTTCCACACAGTCTCGCTGCTCACTTCTTCCGTGCTAACCAGTATCGCCCTTCTCATGTCCTTAGCTTCTACGCCTTGCGCTTCTACGTCTTGCGCCTCTACGTCTTGCGCTTCTACGTCTTGCGCTTCTACGTCTTGCGCCTCTACGTCTTGTGCCTCTACGTCTTGCGCCTCTACGTCTTGCGCTTCTACGTCTTGCGTCTCTACGTCCTTCGGCCGAGACTCCAGCTGCTTCTGAGCGTCTCCGACCGATGTCGCCATGCACTGCACCGACGCAGTGGGCCTTGGATCTGATCCTCCCACTGGCTTCGAATACTCCTCCTACCCGTGCTATTCTGTAAGCAAAGTCTTCCACGCCTTGTCCGGCGTCCTTTCGCGTGAGGCAAGCAAATCTCCCTCATATTTACTGCTGGCGATGCGCTCGTTCATCTTCTTGAGCTTTTCGTCAAACTCTGTGCGGAGCGCACCCTCTTGCCGTCTAGCACTGCGCTCTTCAAACTCCTCGCTCTGTCGGAGCCTCTTCTCCACGTATTCTCTCAACCTATCGCCTTTAAATCCATACCGAATTCCGCTAGCGATAAAGCTGGCTTCAATGATCCATAGTTCCTGTGCCATGCTCGCTTCGTATCCTGGCGTGGTCGCCAAATGTTGTGAACCCTCTGGTTCTCTAAAGTGTCAGGAACGAACGACCCCACAAGGCACGAGGACAACTATTTATTCTCAACAGTATATTTCACTTCCATCGACTAACAATAATGAAATGAATGAATGAATGAACAACTGAATGAATAACACTAAAACCACCAGGTAGTTATAGCGTGAAAATGACAGCATATATGAGAAAAGCATACACATACCACATACAACAACAGCGCACACAGCAAAACCGCACATAGCGCATGTAGCGTATACTACGTCGAAAACATCAGTGGTACGGCGGAGTCGGGATACAGCTGCATTGGAACGAACACAATGTCACAAGCGAGAAGGCCTTTCACTCTCGAGAACTTGTGGTTTCACAACATTCTCCCCACCAAAGGGCTTCTCACCGCCGTACAACAACTCACAAGTCAAACGATTTGGGGCTTACTACGCGTTATCTGCTGCTGCGGTGGTGGCCATGGTAGAATATCACTAATGCCCACCACTTCGGCCAACTCAATTTCGCGAAGCTTGCCGCTGTGGGCTGTCACACACGACATGGTTACCGGTCCACTTCGACGTGGGGCGGATGCTGCACCAGACAACACACAACCGATAATTTCACGAACCTTGCAGATCTGGGCTGTCACACACGACTCGGTCACTGGGCCACTGCCTCGTTGGGCGGAAGCTGGACCAGATAACATATATCTGATCTCTGTGTTCCACACAGTCTCGCTGCTCACTTCTTCCGTGCTAACCAGTATCGCCCTTCTCATGTCCTTAGCTTCTACGCCTTGCGCCTCTACGTCTTGCGCTTCTACGTCTTGCGCTTCTACGTCTTGCGCCTCTACGTCTTGTGCCTCTACGTCTTGCGCCTCTACGTCTTGCGCTGCTACGTCTTGCGTCTCTACGTCCTTCGGCCGAGACTCCAGCTGCTTCTGAGCGTCTCCGACCGATGACGCCATGCACTGCACCGACGCAGTGGGCCTTGGATCTGATCCTCCCACTGGCTTCGAATACTCCTCCTACCCGTGCTATTCTGTAAGCAAAGTCTTCCACGCCTTGTCCGGCGTCCTTTCGCGTGAGGCAAGCAAATCTCCCTCATATTTACTGCTGGCGATGCGCTCGTTCATCTTCTTGAGCTTTTCGTCAAACTCTGTGCGGAGCGCACCCTCTTGCCGTCTAGCACTGCGCTCTTCAAACTCCTCGCTCTGTCGGAGCCTCTTCTCCACGTATTCTCTCAACCTATCGCCTTTAAATCCATACCGAATTCCGCTAGCGATAAAGCTGGCTTCAATGATCCATAGTTCCTGTGCCATTCTCGCTTCGTATCCTGGCGTGGTCGCCAAATGTTGTGAACCCTCTGGTTCTCTAAAGTGTCAGGAACGAACGACCCCACACGGCACGAGGACAACTATTTATTCTCAACAGTATATTTCACTTCCATCGACTAACAATAATGAAATGAATGAATGAATGAACAACTGAATGAATAACACTAAAACCACCAGGTAGTTATAGCGTGAAAATGACAGCGTATATGAGAAAAGCATACACATACCACATACAACAACAGCGCACACAGCAAAACCGCACATAGCGCATGTAGCGTATACTACGTCGAAAACATCAGTGGTACGGCGGAGTCGGGATACAACTGCATTGAAACGAACACAATGTCACAAGCGAGAAGGCCTTTCACTCTCGAGAACTTGTGGTTTCACAGCAGTATCCTTTAGTTCCGTATTTTTCCCCACTGATGATTGGAACGAGAAAATCGATTCTGGATGCCAATAATTATTATTGTTATTTTAAAAGTACACATACATGTGGAACAAGTAACGTAGTTGCGTGATGTCTGCGGCCTTCATTCTATTCATAGCTATACTGATAATCTGCCATTGAACGGTGAAACAAAATAAAATAAAATAATGAACAAGAAATAATAAGAAACGAATGTCAATAAGACAGTGGTACTAGATAAGGAATTATTCCAACAGTACAAGCGGATTTTTGACTTGAAGGTAACTTAAGAGCACATGAAAATGACTGTAGAAAAAGAGAAGAAACACATGAGAACGAGTTATGCAGCAACTTTCTGACCGTTTATCATCTTGTTACAGTCGTGGAAAGTTGCTGCATAACTCGTTCTCATGTGTTTCTCTTTTTTACATTTATTCCTGGCTCAGTATCCGAGTGAAAATGACTGTGTAATATTGAGTACATGATAATTGATCACCCGCAGATAACTTACGAACACATTTGTCGATATTCCACCACAGATTCCCAGCAGCTGCATTGCAATATGGGCCCCAATGCCTAATTGCCCTGTGGCCTGGTTTGCAAACAACTGAGCCATCCTTATAAACCTTGACGTAGCGGTCGGCAATGTTTCCCGCAGGCCTACAGCCTGTTGACAGCAAAGAGCATGAAATCAACTCAACATGATTAGATCACTGTGGTGGTATTATCATTTATTATTATTATTTGAAACTCGGGTATTGAGCCAATAATAAAAGTAGAAAGGAAAAGGACATATGGAAACGAGTTAAGAGTAACTCTCCACCACTGTAACTAGATACTATATACAGTCAGAAAGTGCAACAACTAGGCACAAAACTGACAGAGTACTGAGACATTCGACGTCCTGACACCTAGCTTCAACACATCTCCGTAGCGCTAACCGACAGCCTTCCAACTTGGAAGGTTCAAGGCTATGGAAAGACCAAAGAGGGGAAGGCAAGCGCAACGAAAACGAGCACAAGCTACAGTCCCAACGGAACAAAGAATGTCGATTGTCACTGGACGATGACGAGACCAGTAGGCGATTTGACAAAGCGGTCTAACTACAATTCGAAGCAGCAAAGCAGCACACCACCCAACTTGGGTGGGTCAAAAATATCAAAGATAAGTTAAGAAGGGGGAAGCTTTGCGAGAACGAATTGTACAAGCCGAAATCTAAACTCCTACAGTACTCCTCATGCATGACATTGTGATGGACGGCGAAACATACGTCGTGTGAAACAACTTGTTTTGTAGTCAACTAGTTTAACTAGTCAACTAGTACTATCATTATTTTTTATTATTATTATTGCAAGTAACGCCAAGTAATTACACAATGTATATAAACCAGCATTTGCCAAATGGAAGGAAGAATGAGGAACAAGCGGGAATGAGGTGCTTATGCGTGAGCAACTACAGAATATGCTGTTGCTGTATGCAATGTGAGAAATACAGTGGTTGAACGGGCATTATGAAAGTCTTTTTCATTTGTATGTTATGCTCAAGCCTTGTTTGGACATAGATCAGTATTTGCCTTATTGGGACATAGATCAGTATTTGCCTTGATTGGACATAGATCAGTATTTGCCTTGTTTGGACATGGATCAGTATTTGCCTTGTTTGGACATAGATCAGTATTTGCCTTGATTGGACATAGATCAGTATTTGCATCCCTTGTTTGGGCATAGATCAGTATTTGCCTTATTTGGACATAGATTTGACACGCAAGCACGCAATGGACATCTCGTATACTGTGTGGATTCATCTACAGCATGAACGTATCAGAATCATACACAAACAGCACAAGAATTGATGCTTCTCACTTGGCTTGAAGTATTTTGCCGATGGATTCGCTGAAGAGAAAAAAAACATAACCCAAAGGGAGAAACTCAGGTACGGGAATTCCCGCGATAGAACTTCCTAGATTTGTGTGTTCTTTTACCATCTTGGAAGGTGCTCAGAGCTCTAAGATGTGGCCCATAGATCACCCAATTAGTGTACAGTTTATTAAACCCATCAAGATATCATAATAGCACGAAAGATGTTGCAACATCGGCGGTGATTAGTGAAGACAGTGTCTGCTCTGAGCGTCGGAGCTCGCGCTTCCTGCTGACTGACTTGAAACTTGACTGACTCACGGCTGCGTCTGGAGTACGCCAGAAGCCAGTCGAACCTTCCACTCGGCAAACCTACAAGAAAGTGCCACTCACTGCTCAATACACAGTGTTTGGAGGAATTCACCCCTCATCAGTTGAGCTTGAGTAGACTAAATTAAGTAATATAATTTCTGCTCCAAGGACACTGCATTATGTAGTGCTCTCCGAGCCAAAACATCACCAGGGATACCAACTTACAGTGACAAAACATCACCAGGGATACCAACGTGCAGTGATGCTCCACTTTCTCCACTTTCTTTCAGGTTTGGGAAGTGGACAGTTCGACTGGCTTCTCGTGTGCTCCAGACACAGTCGTAAGTCAGTCAAGTGTCAAGTCAGTCGGCAGGAAGCGCAAGCTCGGAAGTTCGGAGCAGACACTTTCGTCACTGAGATATCTAATATCACACTAACCCTGGGTTTTGCTGAGCAATGCCTCATTAATGAAAAATTCAACTCGGATGGTGAGCCAATTAACCATGAATATGAAAAATTGTTGATTTTCTTAGTTGGAAAAGTAAGCTGACACTGAGTTTGGATTTGCATGTGCGTGGGTGTGTGAGAGAGTGTGGGCGTGAGTGTGTGTGTGTGTGTGTATGTGTATGTCATTCACTTTGTGCGTGAGTGTGTTCGAGTGGGTGTGAATGTGTTTTGAGTGTGTTTGATTGTGTGTGAGTATGTACGAGTGGCTGTGTGTGTGTGTTGGGAGAGGGGTGGGTGGGGGTGGAGTATGTGTGTTCTTGTATATGTGTGTGAATATGCGTGCCCATGTGTGTGTATGTGTGTGTGTGTGTGTGTGTGTGTGAATGTGCGCACACGCGCGTGTGTGTGTGTGTGTGTGTGTTTTGTTTGTTTGTTTAGCTTTATTTTACTTCACCAGAAGCACAGGCAAAATCTGCCTTCTCACTGGGCGTATTGCCACAGTTCTCGCAAAATGATGAAGGTGGTGATATAAGAAAAGGAGGAAGAGGAAAATACAATCATGAACAAGGCACAAAGAGAAGACGGAAACAAATCAATGAGGGAGTACTACAAGTAACGAATTTGAATTTGATGAATTTTTCATGAAAATAATGCAACGGATGGAAAGGTTCCAGGGTTGAGGGAATGTTGACAGTTATGCGTCTTTGAGATCTTAGGAGAGGGTAAGAGAGTTTAAGATATCGTTTGTAATTGCTTTCTTAAATGCAGAAGGAATTGTGATGGAGCGGACATCAGGCGGCAGGCAGTTCCAGTACACACTACCAATGAACTGAACAGTGGATCGACCGGAAGGACCCGGCAAAAACGGGACACGAAGCAGACGTGAAGCCTGACCCCGCGTGGCACGACCATTGACTAAATCAAAGAAAGTGCTGAAAAGACTACTGATCATTTCAGTACCAAGACATCTGTGAACAAAAAATAATAATTTTTGCTTATATATCTGAGTAAGAGTAAGAAGATCAAGTCGACAGAGAAGAGGGGATGATGGGGTAGTAGAAGGCACCTGGAAAACGGCGCGAATTCCGGATTTGAAAATCTTGACCAAGCGATCCAACAACTGCACTGTGAGGCAAGGATAGAAAGCCGTAGACGCATAGCAGAGATGGCTGCTGATCATGCTAATGAACCACGACCGTCTGGCTGATAAACTCAGAGCACGACCATGGCGCCAGAGCTGACCAATGGTCTGGGCAGTTCGCTTAGTCACGTTGTCCACATGCTGCTTCCATGACAGTTCGCAATCAATGACCACCCCAAGGTACTTGGAAGTAGGGGTAACCTTGAGTGCGTCCTGACCACAGAATACATCAGGAATGGCAGCTCTCTGTCCACGGGGCTGGATGACCATGACTTGCGTCTTCTTCGCATTGAGCAACAGCCCAATTTCAGCAAGCCAACGTGATACAGAAGTGGCAGCTGCACTAAGCTGTCGGCACACAGTGTTCAGATCGCTGTCGGAGAACTCTAGTATGATGTCATCTGCAAACTCTTGGTGGATGACTTGTTCAGGCAGGATGGCATCTAAGTGGCGCGTGTATAGAACAAACAGCAAGGGACCAAGTACACTGCCCTGTGGCACACCACGGGAACAATGCACTGACGAGGAGACTGAGTTTGCAATTCGGACTTGTTGACTTCTTTCAGTCAGATAGCTACAAAACCATTGTAGAGCACTAGATGAGATACCAAGGGAGTGCAACTCAGAGACGAGTCGTTCATGCTGCACCCGATCAAAGGCTTTACTCATATCTACCATGACGATGCCCGTGAAGCGGCGATGTGAGCGTGCAAGCACCCACCTGTTGACGGCAAGCACAAGTGCATCCTCCGTCGAGTGACACTTCCGATACGCAAACTGAGTCTTTGGATAAAGTTCATGCGCTGTGAGATATTCCACGAGCTGCTTTTTCACAAAGTGTTCGAGAATACGAGATATAATCGGCAATAAGGATACTGGGCGGTAGTTAACTGGCACTGTGGGGTCTCCTGACTTATACAAAGGACTAATAAACGATCGCTTGAACATCATTGGTACTGTTCCAGTGGACAGTGATCCGTTAATGATATCCGTGAGTGGCCCAGCAAGGCCATCGGCACATTCCCTCAACACTAAACCAGGAACGCAATCACTGCCCGTGGCCTTCGCGGGATTTATGCACTTCAGACAAGCTTTCACATCACTCACCGGCACCAGTTCAAATTGCAGAAAGCTAGACGCTGGCATCGGTCCACTTGGTGGTGTTAGCGTGGATGGTCGGTCTGGGTCATGCACAACATCCCCAAAGGTTTTGCTCAGGTCCTCAATGTCGGCTTGAGGTTCTTGACGCTGCTTAGCACGGCCTGTGACGATGTTCATAACTGACCACAACTTTCTCTGATCACGAGTTGCACACTGATTCATGAAGTAGGCATTACGTAGACGGCGATCCAGTTTCCTTGCAGTAGAGCGGGCCTGACGGTGGAGCTCACGCAGATCCGCATTGCCTTTGTCGCTCATCAACCGGCGATGGAACTGGTTTCGCTCACGTACCGCGGCAACTAGCTCCGATGTTAGCCAGGGGCAAGGACGTTTCTCCTGTCGGCGCCGATGAATCAATGGTGCATGCACATCCAGGGTAGATATGATAAAGGTGGTAAGACTCTGCACAGCATTTTCAAGATTTCCGGTGAAGGTACAAGTCGCTAGATGATGGTTCAAGTCCTCATTGAATGTGTTCCAATTTATCCCATGGAGTCGCCTACCTTGGCGTTTGGCGGCTGGGTGTCCAGAATATGCCTTTCCCATGCCAAAGCCAGGCATATGGGCCAGGATGGCAAAATGATCGCTCATATCAACATAGACAGTACGACATACACCCTCTATGGGAACGTTAGACAAGAACAGGTCGATAACAGATGCCGAAGAGGACGTGACTCTTGTCGGCTGAGACACATGGTTAAACAAGTTGCAGTGTGTGAGTGTGGAGTGCAAGTGATTTGCACGGCTGGCAAGAGCATCGGCATAGTCCACATTAAAGTCTCCAATGAGAACTGTGCGCGACTGTCTTCCCTGCATTGCCTTTTCGATGTTGGCTTGGAATACATCCCAGTAAGCCACTGACTTATCTGGTGGACGGTATGCACATCCCACCAGGGTACTGTGCTTTTGCTCCATGACCTCAATCCACAAAATTTCCAAATCTGTTTCCAGATCAGCACGTCGTTTGACACGAGTCGTTTCATGACAGTATATGCAAACGCCACCGCCGTGCTGTAGGGCACGATCTTTCCTGAATAGCTTGTAGTGAGGAATGGATACCTCTCCATCAGTTACATCAGCAGCTAGCCATGTTTCAGCAACGCCCATGACATGCACACCATGCTTGGAAACGAAATCTTTGAGTTCGTCGACTTTTCTGCGGAGGCTGCAGATGTTAAGGAAGGCTATGCTGGTCATCTTGGGCTGAATTCATACTGCTGTGGCTGTCCTCTGTTTCAGATCTGTACTTGTCGAAATTCCAACACCTACTGTACAGTGGAGCAGGCCAGAAACGGCGGCTGTTGACTAGCTTCGCACTGGAAGCGTTGATGGTGATCCTGGCCGATGATGAGGATTCTTTGGGGAAGATCTTCACCTCAAAAACACAGACAGGGTGATCGATGTCTGCAGCTCTGCGTTCAATAAACAGTTTCAACTGCTCGCTCTGCATCTCGGGGAGCAGGTTCCCAACGAAGAAAACTGACTTTTTCTGCGTGGGCTTAGTATTCGTGACCAGCCTCCAGGAAGCTTCGACATCGTCCTGCATATCCTCAAATATTTTGAGGCGATCGACGATCTTCTGTGCAGCACTTGGTTTCAAATGTCCCTCTGCACGTGCTCCTGGGTCATCAAGGCCAAGGTCCGATCTCTGCGTACGGGGTTCATGAACCGAGTCAACGTCCTCGCACGTGGAGGTGGCTGCTGAAGCTTCCAGATCCGGTTGAGCACGGCTGTCTTGAGATGTTGGCGCATTCGTAGATCGTACGGACTTTGCAGACTCAGCTTGAACTTGTTCACCAGCTTTGAAACTGCTCCGTGCACGGCGTGGCTTTCCCTTGCTCTTTGTCTCGTCATGGCCGACTGCCTTCGCTGCCGCCATTGAATACGCTGGTGATCCAGATTCCATAACTACCTCCTTCAGGGAGGAAACTAAACGGGTGAGGTCGTCGATTTTACTATTTAATCTTTTCTCTCG